GCACTGACAAGCTATGTTATAAGAGAAAGGTAACCTGCAATACGAACAAGAACAACAACAAAGACGTGTGAATCTGTGCTGCTCATATACAAGCAAGCACGCTGCATGACATCAAATCAAGTAACAATTGGGTTAAACGTGCTAAGAGACAGATACGGACACCATTATAAAAGATGCAAGAGAGAATGAGGGGAACAATGAATTGTCCACTCAACAGATTTGAACAAACATCCTCTTTCATACAGTGCCTAAAGGTGACATCAGCTTGCTGAAATTTTTGACCACTCTTCCACACAAAATTCCTTCAGTTGCAAGAAGTTTGAGGGTTTTCTTGCATGTACAGTTTCAAATCCCCCGACAACATTTCAACGGCAATGATTAGGCCATTCCACAACCCTCCATTTCTTCTTTTTGAGCCAATGCTTGGTGGATTTGCTAGTGTGCTTTCGATCATTATCCTGTTGAAAGGTCCACTTCCATTTCAACTTAAACTTTCGGACATTATTTTTAAGTACTCTTTGATATGATACAGAATTCATAGTTGAATTAATGACAGCAAACTGCCCAGCCCCTGAGGCAACAAAGCAACCTCAAATCATAACATTTCCAACACCATGCTTCACAGTTGGTTTGAGGTTCTTCATCTGAAAAGTTGTCTTCGGTGTGCGCCAAACATGTCTACTGTTACTGTGGCCAAACAGCTCTATCTTTGATTTGTGTGTCCAGAGCACATTAATCCAAAAGGCCTGCTCTTTGCCTATATGTTCATTGGCAAACTGTAGTCTTACTCTAATGTTCTTTTTGGACGGCAAAGGCTTTTTCCTGGCACGCCTCCCATGCAGGTCAAATTTGTGCACTTTCTTTCTGATTGTAGAGACATGCACTCTGACACCAGCAGCTGCAAGAGTTACCTGCAGATCTTTTTGGGGTTTTGGAGACATCAAATGGTCTGCTCTTGGCGGCAAATTGTGGACAAATTGGCAATCGTTTGAAATTTTCACCACGTGTAAATGATTTTCCTTACAGTGGAATGATTTATTTCAAATAATTTGGAGATCTTTTTAATTCCCTTGCCAGACTCTGAGGCAACCACAACCTGTTTTCTGAAGGCCTTTGAGGGATCTTTTGATCTTGGCATGATGAGGTTTAGAGGTTTACATGAAACACCTGCAAGCACAAAGGAGGTTTTAATCATTGGTACCTTTTCTGGAACACCTGATTCTAATTTTATGGATTTGCAGGTGTGATAAATTTGGGATGTACTACATTTTCCATGCTACTGGTCTGTTTTGTTTGTTATCTAAATTATGACAATTACTACAAAAGGTCAATTCTATGTGTCGTTTGATTGAGTCAATCACATTTATTAATAGGCACTGTTAAAAAGAAGATCAATGTTTGTTTGTTCAATATGTTGAAAAAGTCAACAATTTCCATGATTCCAATATTATGACTTAATACTTCGTCATAACTTGCCCTTTTTATCATTTGTTGTAGTCTGAACTTTCTGCTCATCTTCTCACTGATTGTTCATTAAATGTTTGGTTAGGTAATGATAGCTCCCCTAATGACAATTATGGAGTCAGTCAACCAGTCAGGTGCATAGCCAGCCAGGTGGCATAAGTGGATCAGTCGTCAAGTGAAGAGGTCAACAAGCTATTATAACAATAAATTAGTCAGAGGGTGATGTTATCATGACCTTAACAGAATTACAGATTAGCAACTATTAAAAAGACATGTGAGGCAAGAATAAGCATTGAAATGAAAGTGTCTGAACTGGAAAGTCACCAGACTACATATGTAGTTAATACTACATACTCGGTGCAATCAATTATCAATCAATTAATTACCTGCTACAGCTCAAAGGCAACAGAAAATAGAGTTAACTTTTCATCAAAGATGTTACAATTAAGTTTCAAAGGGGCTGTGCTGCAACACTGTGAATGGTGCTTCATTTCACTGGCAAACACAAACACTGAACTCATTAATGTTTTAATGGTTGCTCTGAACTGATTCTGGAGTCTGACATGGGTGTGTGAGTGGAATGCTAAGTCCCTCCTCTCCACAGAGAAATTGACTAGCACAACTAGGCCGCAGATAAAGACCAAAAAATTACTTTACAAACACAGAATGTGACAGGAAACTCCCCCAGTCCTCAGCTCCTCGTCTCAGGAATGAAAATAATAATGTTGAGCAAATTGCTCAAAGAAAAAAGATTGTTAGCTGGTAAAAAAAAAAAAAATGCAGAGAGGAAAAAAATAAGGCAAGACCTCTCTAAAGTCGTGAAATCTGTAATTTGCTAGTAGTCAGATAACTGAGAGACCGCCTATACCACCAACTCAACATGCTCATTTAGCTGAATAGCCACTGATGAAGGACAACAAGTGCAAATGCTACCAGTCATATCACAAAAAAATAAGAGCAACAGTCAGCAACTGGCAATTTACGACAGATCAACAGTGCCCAAAGGCCGACTGTCTATTTGGTGTATCAGAGCCCATAAACTTCCATCATCTTTCATCAGCAGGTGACATTCACAAATGGGACTACATACTGACTACTATCAAAATGGTACATGTGCAGCATATTGTGCTTTGGAGGGTCACACAAACAGTCACATCCATCATTATGCATCATGTAATCTGGCAGGTCCATGTTCTGTTTTGTAACAGTGCTCAGTACTGGCAACTCATCTTAACTAAGATGTAAAAATGTAATTGAAACAGGTCCGGTCTACAGTGACATTCCCTCCAGAGAAAGACAGAAAGAGGCCACATTACCTGAGGCCATCAATGAAGATTCAAGCACCAAAACATTTATTCAGACCGGATAAAAGTGCTCATGCAAACTCACAGTAGATTCCACATAAGAGGAGTCAAGCAACTAATCACACCTAAGGCATGGGAATCAGACAGGAAGAACCACACGCACAGCAGAGCAGACCTGTGAACTTCTTACCTACTGTTTGAAGTGTTCTCTTGAATTACCTAGACTTTGGAGATTATTACACTGAGCCTTTGAGTGTCGGCCAAGTGTGTAAAATGTTTTTACATTTCACACAATGTACATTCAAAGCATCCACACCTTTATGTGCACGTATGGGCACACATGCATAAGGACACTGGCACGAAACCAGTGTGGAGTTTTTCCTTCCTGTTATTGATTCCAGAAATGAAAGGGATGTGGGTTTTCAAAAATCACTTCTGATGGCTTCAGGATTTGAGATCCATTTGAGCTCTGGGGACTGTTTCCAGTCGGCAGGGATGGAAAGTTTCCACTGCAACAATAACATACCGTACTGATGAAGTCCAAGGAAGGCAGAAACTGTGCGCCAACGCTTTCTCACACACTTTAAGCGAGACACACAAACATGCACTCGAAGACAAGTGTAGACCCTGAAGCAACACTCTCTGCCGCATACTGGATGTAAAGGCAGACACATCTCACATGAGAAGGTACATAAATACTATTATAATGACAAAATGAAATGGGGATGATGTAACCCTGATATGATGACAGAGTGTAAAGTAGTCTACAGCCAAGAAGTATTTGATCAAAATCTGAGTTCTTTGTAAATCATCTCCTTAGGTTGATATATTTATATTTCATGTCTTTATAAATCAGCTATCCCAACTACTATAGATAAGAACTAAACTATGCAACAACAAATGTCTATGTATACATATTTCTTCCATTGAAGATCATAAAAGAGTCCTGCTCAGATTGCAAAACAAAGCATATTACTGACTGTGTGCTGAGCCCACCCACCCTTTGCTCTGGGAAGAGATGTACATTTTTCTCATTCCATTCTCCAACACGTTAACATCTGTCCCAGGTCGAAGCTCTGTGGGGCTGTATTATTCACGCCTACAGCAAGCTGCTTGAGAATCCATGACTGCAGGCTATATCTTTGCTTCACAAGTCTCCGCTTTTCACCCGCTGCAGGACACATACCTGCAGGATGAAGTGTAGCATATATCCCACTATCTCTCCACTCTATCTTCACCTCTGAAAACACACCTGACAGCTCTTCCACCTCTTTACGCTGAATACCATTCATTATTCCATCACTAAAGAAATGGCTTTTGGTTGTGCTTTTACATAGAGGGCGAAGTCACAGGAAAGTCTGCTATAATAAAGCAAAATGAATAAACAAAACATAACAGGCATGATGTAGATTATGTCAGTGTTAGGACATTTACTGTCATTTCTAACACAGCACTCGCTTCCTGATGAAGAGGAAGGAATGGGATGACATCTCTTCTCTACAACTTTGAACTTTCATAATTCAGGGTCATTGTATTCATGTCAATAAAATAGATATTTTCAATTCTTGTTACTTTGGACTGGCAATCATTTGATATTTGCAAATAGTATTGATACACTCAATTTGTGGCAAGTAGGAGACACAGAGAAAAGAACAACTTTTCCCAGTCAGCAACTCTTATTTCCACCAGCTGTAAAGGGAGTACAATAAAGCTCCTGTAATATTATAACTCTCTACACGTTATTAGTTTGCTGATACAGTAGGGCAAGATCCTAATTTAAAAGAACAATGGGTCCAGAATTCTCTCATAGTTTGTCCACTTCCTGTGAGGTCAGAAGTCAAAATCAGATTCCCAACAGCATCCTTACAGCTGGGAGGGATATAGTGGTTTGCTCAAGGAAATTTCAGGAGAGCGAGGGCAGCTCGAACCCAGTCAATCAGGTTGAAGGGGAAAACTCTCTGCCTGCCAGCGTCTTTACTCAAGACTCAAACCAAACAAATTCAACATTGGCACACAAGAGGAAAAAAAACATAGTAATTTTACAAGGCAGCCGGGCCCCTCCCAGCATGCAGACATGCCTGCACACCAAGGAGACTGTGTATGTGAGTGTGTCTGTGTGTGAATTATGGCCACCAGGAACGAGCTCAGCATTCCAGCAAAGACAGAGACATACAGTTTTCATGAGGCTTAAATGACAGCACTGTGATTGCATGTTATCCCCAAAAAACTCACCATTTCTTAGTGCATTCCACCATCAGCTCCTGATAGGAAGCCACAAACTGGAATTTGGAGGCATGCTTTCCCACACGTTGCAGTCTCTTCCAAACAGAGGCCATGTTTCTTTTGGAACGGGTAGTTTCTGTGCACCTATCCCGTCCTGGACTTCCTTCTTTGGGCTTCCTTCACACGAGTTCACGCGAATGTTTATATGTATCTTAGCATATCCAACCCGCACAGATACATAGTTAATGTTTTACCGGAAGCACACTGGAAAAAAAAGGAAAAGACTGCACATCCAGTCGTAGGTGCTGGTCTTCAAAAACTGGCTGATAAATCCGTATGCAAAGACAAGGAATCTCTGCAGCAGTGAGCGAGATCTGATTTGACGCCGTGCATGATTTTATCAAGTAAATCACTCCACAATTTCGAAAGGCATGACGAGTAATCCTCTGGGTAAAAATACCATCTTTCCAATTGATGATCTTCCTGCAAAATAAAGAAAAAGTCACAGTTAGTGGAGTAACAGCCACTGCAAAGCCCCGGTATTCCGGAGGATCCTCGCCGATTTTTTTTTTAACATTAAACATCAAGTAACTCCACAACCCGTTAACCTTCCCCGATACAGAGATGCTTTGTCTGTGTAACAGCTTTCCCGTTACCGTCGGCTGTATCACCTCAGATGTTAAAACAACCCAGTTTATCTACACCGCCAACGAAACACTTTGTTAATGTGTAAGAATGTGATGAAGACTCCACTTGTGCTGCCAGCACGGCGTGCCGGGAGGCTAAGTACTGGTGTACGAGCAAGCTAACTTGAAGTGTTTGATAATAAAATGTGATTTTATGTACTGAAACAGTGACAGAGAGGCAATGACATTACAATAAAGCAAGTCGTTTCAACCATCCAGTGTAGAAAAAACAGCACCGAGAGACACCACCCAAACCTGAGACTCCAATAGGCATTTTGTCAACATGGAATATTTGGTGGAATGTCTCCGAATCCAGGGAATAGTCCGAGCCGTTGTGCCCCGCTAACCGGGGTGATTCAGCTACTAAGCTAACGAGTTACCATGTGAAACTAGGTTAACGGTGCATGTATGACACTCACCTTACTGTAACATCCAATGCATTATCCGTTAATTGGTCTTATCGGGAGTGTCAGGAGATGGCGAACTGTCTGTAACAAACCAGCACCCGGGCGAGCGTCGCCCGCTTGCTAGCTAATTATCGCCTTCTTTACAGCAGTACCAACACCAGCCATTTAGCTAGCTAGCCTGCTAGCGACGACGGCTAGCCATCACAACACGGTACGACTGGAAACCGTTGCGTGCCAGTTGACACATTTGCTCCACAGGTAAGCGCACGCTCCAAGACTTAAGACCGAGTCAGAAACGACATTTGTTTGAGCTTGTCTAACTTTGACAAAGTTAAACAAAAGTATTCCAACCCCAGGCAGGAATTCCCACAGCAAAGTACTCTGATAGTTACCGATAGTTTGACCGCTCTGCTTCACTGAAGTCCGTAAAGCCAACGAACAAATGGAAGGGACTTCCGTTTGGGGTATTTAAAATAAAATCGTTACTTTTCTATACAACTAGACTGGCTCCTCTAAATGTGCACACAAGTGTGTTGTTTAATAATTAATCTATGATAAATCTGTTGAGTTTTTTTGTTTTCAAAACGACAGATTCGAGAATAATACATACGGTTTCAATGTAAGGGTGACAAATTGACGATTTTATTTTGAAGGCTACCCTTTATACTTCCGGTCTGGGTCTGGGTTTATCTCAACGTGCTTGACGCGGCTTCGCCTCTCCATCATTTCGCCTACCGCCTGGATGACTGAAAGGCTGAAGAAACGCCCCCGGGCATCAGCTATTGGTGGGATTTTTGTGCCATTTATAGATTATTTACTGATTCATGAGGCATTTCTGGGTTGTTGTGTTATCACACTGGTCAAATCCAACATCCATCAAAGACATTAATCCTGTGCGAGTGGAGATAAAATGTTATCTGGCTCAGGTTTTTCCTTGAATCGTTTTCTGCTGCCCTAAAGACTCACATTCTCCAGCCAACTGTAGACTATAGCATCTGTTGATTAAAATATCTATTGGTCGTGCAGTTGTATGCAAAAGTTTGACAACCTCAGGATAAATTACATATTTTGTTGATCAGTGAAGTGAAAAGAAGAAGTATACAACTCAGAATACAACCCATAAATCAAATGTTAATGCATTGCTCATTTTTATTTCATGAACTTAACAATATAAAAAATGTTTTAAAAGTTTGGGCTCACTCATTACTTGATATTAAGTTAGTGTTTCTTTGTGTGTTATCTGCAGGGTTTCTTTCACTTGAAAAATCACCAAATTTTGTGAAAGCACTAAGGATGAAATACAGTGTTTATGATTAAATAATTTTACATAGCCCTGTGTGCAAAAGTGTTTGGGTAAGGGTAGACTTACTTAAATCAAACAGTAGCCTAACTGGCCAAATCATTTCAAAGATTTTAGATGAAAACAAAACATTTAGTCCACCCAGGACACTATAGTATCACCCATCAGGTTTGTGCTAATGAGGATGACACTTCCATTTCCTGGTCCTGTCCCATTATTAAGTGAGTGTTAACCTTGTACTCTTGCATGCCGGGGGGGGTCTTTTTCACATGTTGAGAGGAAATAAAACACCTACCATTCATCAGAAATCAATACCTCCTCCTCCTCACACACACACACACACACACCGTCACACATCTTTCTCACCCCCTTGTTGTGACCGCAGGCTTGTAAATGCAGAACAGGACAGGCAGAAGGGAGGAGGCCAGCACTGCTGAGGGAAATAGGGACAGACAATATGAGGCGGATTAATTCAATCTCAAATAAGATATGAGCATAATAACAGGAAATTGACATCTTATCCTTTTATATGTTGCTCAGGGCTATAAACTGAAAGAGAGATGGTGGATTTATTTTGCTTCTTGGGAGGGGTTGAGCAGTAGAGGTCTAGATTCTTTAAGAGCCCAGTCAAATTCAACTCATCAGTGAAGCAGGATATAGATATAGAATAACACAGAGCCAGTGTTTCTATTCAGCTATTCAGCTTTAAATCTTCACCCAAGAGCCATATCTGCTCTTTAATGAAAATAATCTGCAGCACTGAACATTGGATTTGTTCTGAATTTAGGTCGGCCTGAAAATCACAGGAAAGGTATTGAATTTTTTTAGCCCTGTGGTCAAATACATTGACATGGTATGGTTTAAACCTAATGCAGTAGTCTTTCTGAATATGTAGTGGGTTGTGTGTTAGAAATATTGAGCTATAAACATCGTCTTTTATAGAATTTTGGAAATATACGCACCTGTAGATCAGGTTGCAGAGGAGCGATAGGTTACAGAGTGCATGCTTTGTGATAAAAACCCTTCATGTCTCTCTCACCATCCTGACGGAGAGCAGTATTTTCAGATCAGCTTTCATCCACATAAGTATTTGTTAACTGAGAACAATTTGGGGTTTAGGGTCAGAGCCGATTTGACAGCAGGGGGCCTGCTGATCCCGCTGCTCTGTGTCGCCTGTTTACATTTTACTCTGACAGATTACAGAGTGCCTCCCTTCATGCGTCAAGGAATGCTTTGATGTGACAAATGACCCTGTGCTAAATGACGCTTTGTGTGTCTGCCCACATGTCAGCAAGGGCCTTATTTCATACATCACACAGGGGGGAGGACGGGCCTGCCGGTGTGTGTCTGTGTGAATGAAAGAGTGTATTATAGAGGGACAGTGAGAGAGAGTGGCAAAGGTCAAGTAGAGTCCTGTGTGTGTTGCCCTGCCACCTCTTTTCTTTTTACATGTCTGATTCATTAAAACAAAATAATGGTAATTTGCATCCCGTTGCTAAACGATGAGTTTTATTTTCCATCTTTATTCTGCTTTAATGATTGAAAAAAATACAGATAATGCAGATTGTCATAATCTCACAGCAAAAGCTATTTCATCCCTTAATCACAATAACAACTTTAATACTGCACCAGGGAATCGTTTTATGTGCAAATACAATCTTCTCAACCCAAAACACATGGTGAGACTGCAGCAAAGAAGAGCCCCCACCCCAACCCAACTGGGATTTGCCCTATTTGGCCGCAGTATATTTCTGTTTCTAGATACTGTCCCCTCTCTAGCCACAGGACGTGATCCAATCCAAACCAAAGGATAACACACAGACTGTCAGCTGTGAGCGAAACGCTCTGTCCAGAGAACATTGGGATCACTGACATGATTAATGATTACCTGATTTATTGGAGATAAAATCAGGTCAATCTCTGCAGCGCATGAGTGAAGTTGTCTGGTGAATATTTGACTCTTGATTTTTCTGGTTTGGTTCACGTGTGTTTTGTCATTTCATTGCTCTCCAGAGGTCCACAGCTCCTGCTACTCCAGATATAAAGCACATTATAGGTATAAAGCACATTGCACGGATGGATTTCATTGCAGAGTGACTTCTTATTGTATGAAGGGAGAGAACAAGTTTCACACCTAGAACTTCTCTCACCCACTCACTGTGTTTTCCTGTGTGGCGAGCCAACAGAAACACACCCTCCAGGATCTCGGCCAGCTCTTCAAGCGCAGAGTCTCAGGCGTTTGGTGTTCAACCACTTGAAAAGACCTGTTAACAAAGCACAGTCCTTCAGATAGAAGCCAAGTGAGTCTGCGCCACTTCAGTGGAGCAAAGATAGCCAAAAGTATCACTGCTGACCGTGTTGTGGGACGATCAGAAAAAAACATAGGCTGGAGCCTTTTACTTCAACCTGTAACCTGAGAATGTGATCAACACACTCTTTAGGGACATTTTGATCATGCTTCTGCATTAGAGCAAACAATGTGTATTCATCCACGGCTGAAAGTAGTCCCCAACAATTTACTCTACTTTGAGTAATGTTTGCTAAAATCTACAATGCTCAGTTGTTTTAGACTGTTTAGATTCTCTTTTAAATGAAGGTATATATTCATGATGGGATGAATGGACTGAGTGGAAGTCTGTAGAAGTGCCACAGACTGGGCAGGGAGTATTGAAAGATGGACCAACACATACAACACATAGAATAACTAGTACACTGTCTCAAGGGCTGACAGCCTCTGATAGCTGGACATGATGTCTGTATATATTTTGACATGCAAAACGATCTGGTATTTGGAATTATGATGAGTTGGGAATGCTCCAAAAAAATGTATATCAAGGAGGCAAACCATAAAACAAACAGATTATAACTGATTCTATCTTTATCAAAGCGGCTCGGGTGATAAAAATCATATTTTTCTCTTCCCTCTGATTTCTGTTTGTGCTTGTCTTCTCGTGGAAACGTGAGTGCCATACTCGATAAGCATCTTTTGCTTTTAACTGTGCCATCCTGACTCATGGCATAGCGCCTGATGGTATCTTTTGCTCGCCACTCAGTTACAGGAAGCCTCGGTGTTTCCGGGTGGAGGAGTGGATTTACAAATGGATGAAGAGGATGGTCATTTCCTCTTGAATCGCTGCCATCAAAACCGCAACTAGGTTAAATGTGGATTTGATTTATATGTGATATGTGATTCAGATTTGACAATGCAAAATTAATTCAATTTCCTCTCTTCTCCATCCATCCATTGCCTTTTATTATGTGTAGCCTATCCATACCTCATTTCCTTTCATAGTTAATATAGCTTGTTGTTCTATAGGTCGACAGAAAAATCAAAGAATGTATTTGGTAATCAATTAATTATTTAAGTAATGCCCCGTTTTGGGTTTTGGACTGTTGGTCAGACAAAAGACATGATGTTACAAGGTGTTACATTGGGCTTTAGAAAATAGTTCCGGGCATTTTTTGTTACTGTTTTCTGATATTTTAGAGAGCAAACGATTAATCGAGAAAGTAATTTTCAGGTTTTTTCAATTTTCAGGTGATGATGAAAAGAATCTTTAGCTGTAATTGTTGGTACAGAAAAAGAAAAACCTAACATTATAAATACATATACAACTTGGCAATAATCTTTTTGTTGGAGGGTCAACAAAATATTTCAGAGATCCAAAACATCACAGCGAGATCAGTTTCTCCATCCACTACAGACCAGAGTGCAATGCAGCCACAAGACATGCTGCATTTGAGTAAGGGACACAGGTGTAATCATAAAAATATGCCAATACACCCTCTATTTACTGAAAGCAACAAGCTCACACCTGCTCTGTGGGGACTGCCAAAATGCGTTCTGGGAAACAAAGGTAATCTCTCTTCTCAGGAGGACGAGTCAGGTGGAGGGGAACACAAGAAGTACAAGAGTATGTAAATTATTACAAAACACTTCATCACTTAGTAACACCTGCTGTGAATACAAAATCTCACACTGATGAGAGTGTAACAGTGGACCAGGGGGCGGATAACATTTCCATGTTTAGAGTGTCTGTTGGGGTGTTCGGGTAATACATCTACAACAGTTTAAGGACACATTATACTCGGT